ATTTTCTTGCCCTTTTTGGCCATTGGCTGCAGCCATTGGCCACGGCCAATTGCCGGCCAAGTGGCCAAGTGACAACACTGCTATAGTGCCATGGCACTAGGGCGTTATGGCCAATTAAAATTTAAGATCAGGTGTAACGTACAAATTAGCTTTGTGTAACAAAAACAAAGAATTTTTTAAAAAATTGTTATTATTCTTTGTGTAATATATAATACCATGACTTATTAGTAAGATTATTTTAATAAACTTCTAACAAATAACATTTTGATCTTAAACAACTTTTTTTTTTCAAGCAAAATACTTCAATTCTATACTAAAATTTTACTTGCTAACTGAAGTTATATAGGCTAAAATTAAATCTAAAACTTTTATTTTTTAATATATATTTCAAGATCCTTTTCTAATGAGGTTAATTTTTAGGGGAATTTACAAATAAGGGCCAAAAAAGTAAAATAATTATATATAAAAGCCAAGTTTTGGAAAATTTTACTATATCTCATGATATAGTGAATGAAGTTTAATGATTTTGATACTATTTGAATTGTCTTATCATGACAGATCAGATAGTACTAAAATTGCTAAATTTAAATTACTAGAATATGAGCTATTTAACATTTTCTAAAATTTGCTTAAATCATGATATTTCATTATCCATTAATTTAAATTTAGCAATTTTAATACCATTCAACCTGCCTTGACAAGACGATTTGAATGGTATCAAAATTATTAAATTTTGTCTACTGTATTATGAGATATAGTAAAATTTTCCAAAATAGGGCCCTTATATGTAAATATTTTACTTTTTGGGCCCTTATTTGTAAATTCTCCTAATTTTTAACAAAACTTGCTTTTTAAAATGTAAAAAATAAGAAATACTTCAAATAATCTTAAAAACAAAAAGGTATTTAAGTTGTGTTTTTTTAGTATTTGATTAGAAGCAAATATCTAATAAGATAAAATAAATAATTTAAATTTATTTTTTGCTTCATTTTTTATTAACAAAAAGAGTTTTATTACTAACAATTTTTATTAAGCCAAATTTATTGATAATATTTAAATAAAACTCAATAATATATAACATATTATCAAAATATAAAAAATACAAAAAAAAACTATTTAACTTTTTTAAATTATTAACAAAATATGTTAGTAAGTGGTAAGATAATTATGTAAGTTTTTATTATCACAGTGAAGCGTAGCACTAATTAAATAAGCGAAGCGACGCTTTTCTAATGTTACACACTCCTCTCCAAAATACCAGACGGATAACCACGTGCTTGCACATGGGTGTCTGTCGCGGTCATTTTGGTAACTTAGAAAAAGCCACAATGGGTCGAGAACGTTCATGATTACATAATACCTACCAACCCTAATACATGAGTGATTTTTTACTACTTTGTGCGCCAGAAAATGGGGTCCTTTTTGTTTTTTTCTTAATAAAAAATGCACCTTTTTTCATTTTGTACCCCAAAAAAACATAATTTAATTAGTGAGTGGTTTTTAATTAAAGAGATTTAATTAGTGAGTGGTTTTTAATTAAGGAGATTTAATTAGTGAGTGGTTTTTTTTGGGGTGCATTTTTTTGGGGTGCATTTTTTTAAGGGTACAAAATTTATGGTTGCCGTGTAAAAATTGTTTATACAAAAATTTGTCAGATAATTAAATCAATATTAGTTTTTATTTTTTTATTAATATTAATACCTGTAATAATTGTTAAGCATTGGGCTCACTTAATTTTAAATACCCCTTGTGTTAAGAAGATATTTTTCGACAACAAAAAATAAATATTTAATAAATAGTCATTATTAAATAAGAATATGTATATATTTTTATTATTAAGTACAAAAATCATATTTATTATAAGTAATTAATTAAACTAAATGAATTTATAAACGTTCACCATTCCTTTTAAATATTATGTAGAATTATCATTTATTGTTTCAATTTCATGCTCTGAATCGTTTATAAATTTTTCGATTCGAAGTTTCAATCGCTTGTTAGGTTTTTTTCTTACAGCGGCTGTAATGCTCGACTCAACTATTGATTGTTAATGGCTATAGTCAGAATCGGTATCAAAATACGTTTCAGATTCAGATATATATTCTTGAGATCTTTTTCCAGCTATAGTTGAAGATAAAACTAATTATAATTGTTGTAGAAGCTCCTGCGTGTAGTTCGAAAGCTCGTGACATCTAGAATAATCGCGTAGATAATTCTTCTTGAATTCGGGGAAGAGACGACGCCAGTAAACCTGATTGTCAGCTTTAATGATCACTTCACCATCTTGCTTCTTGTTTAACTCCTGTACCACAGCTTTTAGCTCCTCAGATGTAAATTCGCCTTTATGATATTTGACATCCCATGTCATGTTTCGAAATTCTTTCTCTGAACTTTTATGAAATATCAACTCAGTAGTACAAAGTTCTATTTCATCATACTATATACCTCGGAACTTGATAATGAAATTAAGACGTCAGTAAAATTGCCCCCAATCACGTTGAGTTGACATTTCATCATTTGCATTATGCTGTTGAAAATTAAACGCTTCTTCTGGCGGCTTGTGAGAGATCATAAATACATATTTTGCTAAGAAAGAAACAAATGTTTTACCTTTTTGCTCAACAGTCTCAGGTGTATTATTCAAATATTTTACAATATCATTCCAATCCATTGATATATACTATTCATCAAAAAGAACTATCTCATGTCTCTTATACCCATCCCACCAATTAGAACCTGATTTTTGTTTCTTGGGCTTAGCATAATATTTATTAGAAAATAATTTAGAAACTAGACCAAACTTCTCTGCTTCACTCTCGCCGTAAATATAAAATGTAACTAGTCTCCAAAATTTTTTAAGCTTTTCATTCAAAAGCTGTTCTTTTTTTTCTTCAAGAAAAAAAAGATCTTGCAAAGATCAAAGCCAATGCTGTGGATATAATATTTTAATATCCTCTAAAATCTCACATGTAGAAATATCTTCTTCAAGGATTCGATTAACATGATCCATATCCTTTATATGACATTTTTTAATTTCGTCCAATCCAAGAAATTCGTTTTGAGAAGAAAGAAATCAAATTCCCATGGACCTAATTCAACACCATCCTCAACCCAACGTGCTGATATACGTTTATCAATACAATCAACAATACAAAAAATACAAATTTTTGAACGATCAAAATAATCACAACAACAGTTTTTAGCATGTGCAGGATCTTTGCAACGATTCTATATTTTCATACTATAATCACGATTTTGCTCCGAATCGCCATTTAAACATTTTGAAAAACTCATAGAGCAATGCCCAAACAAAGATTTAACAGATTTCACCGTTTGCTGATCTTTAAATTGAAAGAAACATTGTTCATGAAATTGTCCTTTCTCAGTAGATTCAGGTTGACCGGATGAGTAAATAAGACCTTTTGCTTCTAATTCTTTATATTCTGCTTCAGTATGCGGTAGAACGTGTTTATATTCAATACCAAGAGATTTATATGAAGAACAAACAAAATCGTTGCATTCATGTAATTTACAGCAATTTATACATGCAGCATTTTTGCAGCATCAATAATTCTTCTGACATTTTGCGCATAACGGAGCTTCACCAGTTCGAGCAAAAATGTCTTCACGAATTTTTTTATCTTTTTTAGTAAGGTTTTTTTTACATTTGAAGGAATTTATACAAGGAATGCAATAGAATACGGTTGCCATAATTTGGCGGAACCTATAATTGTTTGCCATTTTAGTTTTGCTCAAGTAAAAGAATATATTTATATAATTTTTAACATATCAAAATTTACGCGTATATACGCGTTCATATTTACATCGTGATTTACCAATATTTGGATCCTACTCAAAAAAGTAAAATTTTTGATTACCAAAATCGATTCATTCTCAAGTCTAAATTCACTTTCATTTTATTTACTTTAAAGTAATTTGATTGCCAAATTTAAAATATCGCAAAAACATGAAAAAATATTTTTTATTATTACATGTTTAAAATAATAACTTTAGATATACAAGTAAATACAAAATTACATAAATTTATATTCTTTAAAATTTCTTCTAATAAAAAATAATAATTCTTTAACTTTAAATCATTCTTGTCCACTCATGTCTTCCCATTCACCTTCATTTTCTCTTTCAATATTAAATAATTGCATTTCATCAAACTTTGTTGATTTGATTTTTTTAGAATATAACATATTATAGTTGAGATTTTGTATTACAATTTTAACTACTCGCTTCACAGTTAGACCTTCTTTACATATTTCAGCCATTTCAGGATGAAATTCTTCTTTAAAAAGATTTAAATAAGAATATCTGGCAAGATTTGGAATAGCGAGAGAAAAGGTTATTTTGTTATATTTTTGTTCGTTTAATGATTTCGAAAGTAAAAATTTTTTGAAAGTAAAAAAGAATGAAGACATTTTATATTTAATTTAAAAATTTTAAATAAATTTTGGTAATTCTGTGAATTGGCTCAGCTTTATTTTTAAACAAATAGATTTGAAATCTCTGAATTTCGATGTTATGTAATTTTTTCAAATATAATAATAGTATGAAATTTTAACAATCAGTAAATGTAATTATTTTGGTTATCAAAATTTTACATAAATATATATAAATTATATAATTTATTTTTTTTAAAAAAAAGTAGAAAAACTGATAATTGCAGGTATTTTATATAATTACAAATCAATTTTGAGGGAGTTAAAATATTTGATGCTATTAACCATGTTATCTAATCTTTTTTCTTTAGTTTCTCTTTTTCCCCTTTCAAGTATTTTTTTGATTACTATTTTTAGGTTTATTATTTGATTTTTTAGCAGATGATTTTTGT